GAAAGTTGTCTAAAGATAGACTAACCATTTTATTCTGTGCAAATATGGCCGGTGAAAAATGCGATTTGATTGTGATAGGGAAAGCGGCTCGTCCCTAGTGCTTTAAAAACGTTGCTATTAAGGATCTACAGCGACTTGGAAATCCAACAAAAGGCATGGATGACCCGAGAAATCATGTCTGAGTGGTTAGTCGAATTCTCGACCGGAAAATGAGAATCCAAAAAAGTCAAGTTCTTTATTTTTAGACGATGCATGGCTCTCATCCTCGTGATATGAAAATGAAAAATGTGAAAATTATATCTTTTACCGCCAAACACAACTTATGTTTGTCAGCCCATGGATCAAGTGTTGTCCTACAGACCTTTAAATTTTATTATCGGCACTTGATTTTAAAACATATTTTAACAAAATTGACGATGGTCAAAGCTTATCTGAGCTTACAAAGTCTATCAATGTGTTAGAAGCTTTGTATTTATAAAAACAGCATGGAATAAAGTAAATTCCTCTACAATTAAAAACTGTTTTGGAAAAGCTGGATTCAGAAAAAGTGAATGTAGCTCAGAATTTGCTGAGCAAAATTATTGCGATGCTGAAGACGATCTGCCCTTAGCGACACTTGCTCAGTTACTGCGACATGCCAAACATGTAGGAGTAGCAGATCCCCAGAAAGTAGATGATTTCCTGGCCATAGACAACACCACAACAACAGAAGAAAATGCCATTGGCAACTTTTCGAATTGGATGTAGAAAGCCCAGGCCAACTGAATATGGTAGTCCAAACGACTCAGAAGAAGAAGTGGAACTGGTGGACTCACTAAGCGGTTCAAAAACGATAATTCATATGGGGAAGCTCTAAATCATATTTCTATATTGAAAAAATTGCTAAAGATGATTTCACTGCATTTCAACATTTGAAAAATTTGAAAGTTATTACGAAAATTGTCTCCTTCAGCAAAAGATGGTGAAATTCGTCAGACAAACATTTTAACTTTTTGCAAAAGGCTAAAGAATAATGTTTTTTTTAAATTCTCGTACCATGTATTGAAGCATTTATGTTTTGTATGCGTATATGTACATATATTATATAGATATATAGCATAAATACATACTTTAAAAATGTGGCGAGTTTCTGTTTCATTTTCTTCATGATTATAATACCTCATTTCCTCATGATTATATTATTTTACTCTATACTTACATACTCTCTTTTAAACGGACACCTCCCATAAGCGGACAAAAGTTACGGAACCGTGAGTGTCCGCTTATGGGAGCTTCACTGTATATCCTCCCCCACCCCGAACAACCTACAATTTTCAACCCTCCAAAACATTTTCTGAAAATGACCAGTAGCTTCTGATACATCTAAAAACGATTTTTTTTTCTTTTTTTTGCCTTTAGCTCTGCCGCCACTGGACCAAATATAAAAAATAGTACTTTCCAAGTTAAGTGACTGATATATTTTTCATGACATACATAAAACCTGAATAACATTTTTTTTATATTTCTTACAAAAACAATTCTCTTTTCATAATATCGACTATAAGATAATTTCATACCCAAGAGGACATTGTCAGACTTGATGTCCCTATGAATGGTCCCCCTTTGATGCAAATAATCAATAGCTTGCAGGGCCTCATAACAAACAGCCGCTATCTGTCCTTCCTTCATCACAGTCTCTGTGACCACATCTGTCAGTGGTCCGCCATCTAGAAGTTCCATCACGACCCACAGACGGTCATCATACACCACGAAGGCGTCCAAAAAATTCACCAGATTTTTGTGTTTGAAGTTCTTCATGATCTTGATCTCGCTTAGAAGGAGATCTTTCTTGTGCTGCTTTGTCATGTCAATATCTTTAATTGCCACCAGTTGGCCAGATTTTCTGTCTGTAGCTGCAAATACTGTGCCGGATGCCCCTGAACCTAGTACAATGATAATTTTTTACAGGTGCTTTATAGCAAAATTTAATATCTAGTTTTCCTTTTCTAGACAAAGATGCTTTTATTTTTGAAGTTAACATTCCTCTATTCCAGCTTAGATATTTTAATATTGATTATTTTTGAAGTAAAAAAAAATTCAACAAATATTTAGTCTTAATTTCTTAATGACACAAAAATTTAAGAAAATAGTTGTTTTTTATTTGTAAAACATTCATAATCAAAGACTGATAAAATGAAAAAACTACGTTTTTGTTTGTTTGTAGTTGACTTTTCAAAAATTCTGACACAAATCAAAACTTTGTAACCCAAAAAGATATGTGTCATCTTCTTACCTTTTCTATTATCCAATTGTGTGGTATTTGAAGTTCAAAATACATACCTAGATCTTTATTGCTCCTTTCATAATAATCATACGGGTTTCCTGGATTGCAAATATTCCTAATTTGCTGTAAATATTCCTCATCTGACAATCAGAACGTCTTCTTATGAATTCATCATTAGCTAAATCAGATTTATTTCTATACTCAATATCATCTGCTAGAGCAAGATTTTCTATACTCTGAGCCAAGTTTTTTGTTTTAACTAAATTAGTTCCATCTACTTTTCTTGGTGGTCTAGCAGGAAGAGTTGTCCTGAATATAATTAAAAATATCAGCAAATTGTGTTACTATATTTTTTGTCCAGATCACAGATTCAAAGACATTTTAGGAAACTTTCTCATTGGAAACTAAAATAAAGTTACATGAACTTCTGTGCAGAAATCAGACTGTCATTTCTTGTTCTTGCAAGTGAACATAATTTTGTATACTTAGATAAATAAATGATTATATCACAGTAAAAAAACTGTGAAGTACAATGGGCAAATTTTGAAGTATAAAATGAGTTGTTTGGGACCACCCATGGGTCTTAGGGCCAAACTGATGTTGGATTCATAATCTAAGCATCTGATTTATCTAGGAAACAAATTTTTGTCAGGATAACAGATAGGTAGGTTAAAAATGAGTTGGTACTGTGATTTTTTCCATCAATTTTTTTAAGCATTCATAGGCTGTGTCTACATGAAGCCATTCTTTTCTTCCATGTGCTTAAACTTGCAAAAAATTAATTTTATGATAAACGTATGATGTATATCCATAAAGGGAAAGATAGAGATATCCTAGAGCCTTATGGATGCTAGAACATGGCTACAAGTACCCCATACAAATATATATTTTGAAAAATAAAGATTAGTATATAGTTTGATTCAAATACACACCTATTAACTTCGTTTTCTTCTTTAGACCCATTTTCTATACTGCCTTCTTCAGATGACAATGCAGAATCCGAGCTTTTATGAGCATCTTTGGACTGTGTATAGAGATCAATTTGTTTCGACTCTTCATGTATATCATCCTCAGTAATGATATGCTTATACTCCTGGCCTTCCTGAATATTCTTTTGATAGAGTAATTGTAGTACTGCAGAACCTGTTTCACAACCAAAGGGTTTTCCTTCTGTTCATCTTTTGTGATCTGAGTGCCGATTTGTCGCATCCATGACGAAGGCAATCCTGTTAGGATCCCATCTACGGACACTGTTACGTGGATATCGTGATTCACATTTGTGGGGGCACCGATAACCGCTATGTTGTTTCTTCTCGGCGAGGTCTTCTTTTGAAAAGGAAGCTCATCTTTCAATATCCCTGTAGATTTTGCACATGTAGAATTTTGGAACAGATTAGAATAGACAGATAAATGATTCTACTTTGTTAAAGCATTGTTTTGTTTTTCAATTTTTGAAAAAAAAGGTTTTAATACTTTTCCAAAACACACCCAATCCCTGAAAGCTGTCACTCCGACGTCATTGTCAGCTGAGTCACAAGCTATCAAGCACAAAGCACAAAACATCAGGAATAGAATGTGGAAGAAAAAAGTAGATGGAATCAAGATGGAAGATTTATGGGATGAAATAGCGAACGGTTGAATAAAGATGGCTGATGGGTTGAAAATGGCAAGCTCTTGGAGACGAAATAGCGATTCCATGGATTCTTTTTTTCATAAGCTGTTAGGGTAAACATGGCGGCGAAATGCAAACAGTGGGAAGTTACATTTCTTACATAAGCCCTGTAAAAAATGGCACAATTTTTGCAAATTTGAATCCATGCGTAAAGTTGACCTAGCTGGATAACTACTGAAATCGCGAGATAATTAATTTCCTGAGAAGCAGGAAATTCTATTAGTTAAATATCACTTAAAATTGGCTTATATATGTATCATGCTTAGGAGAAGATATTTACAAAACTCATCCACCAAAATTTTTGAAAAGTATTATTTTGGTACCGCTTGATGGGACGTCAACAACCCATTTTAAAGAAATGGTGGATGAGGATAACGTCGACAACTTAACATCAATTAAAAAATCAAAAAAAGTTACATGGGCGTACCACCATCAGCTATGACCTGGCAGAGGTCAGAGGGGATGCGACCTAGCCCTTTGCATGGTTGTTCTGTTCCTCAAAATTTCCAGCTAGAGACTGCTTCAAGTTCCGGAGTAATCACCGATGGGCGCAAAGATTAAAA